ACAAATGCACTCTGCAGTGGTTAGAAATAACTAATCAAATTTGCTGATAGAATTTTTTATCCGTCTCATAGAGTTGGAAAAGTTTGTGAGCCTGTCTAATCACTAATTCAATCTTTTAGATTTTTCAAAAGCTGCTAAATGACATTGAAGTTCACAAACTAGTCATCAACAAGTCCGGGGAAACGGCTCTTGACATTGCAGAGAAAAATAAGCTATCTGATATTGCAGGCATCTTAAACGAACATGGAGTCCAATGTGCCAGATTTATTAAGACAACCTACAAAATTCGGCTCGGGAACTAAAACAAATTGTAAGTGATATAAAGAATGAGGTTCATCACCAGCTTGAGCATACATCCCAAACAAGAAAACGGGTGCAAGTTATAGCTAAGTGGCTCAACAAAAAATGCATGTTTAAGGTCTCAATAATGCAATCAACTCCAACACAGTGGTGGCTGTTCTCATTACCGTTAGTGCATTTGTTGCCATTTTCAATGTCCCAGGTCAATATGCTTGCAGTCCTAAAGATATTTCACAAGGCGTCTCTCCTCAACAAGCGAGAATAGCTTCAAAACTGCCATTTATGATTCTTTTTGTCTTTGATGGCATAGCCTTTTCATATCATTGGCCGTTGAGGCAGTGCAAACCTCAGTTGTAATTATACAGAGAACGGCAAAGAAGCAGATGATAGCAGTTATGAATAAGCTTATGTGGTTGGCTTTTGTGCTGATTTCAGTTGCATTTCTTGCCCTTTCCTATATTGTAGTAGGAGAAGATGAGAGGTGGTTAGCTAATCCTATTACTGGTATAGGGACTGTTATCATGGTATCAACATTGGGAGCATTGTGTTGCTGGGTGATTGTCAACCATATTGAGGCTTCAAAACTTCGGAGCATCCGGAGGTCTCCAGTAAGTGGCTGGTCTCGGTCATTGACAATGTCATATATGTCTGGCACAGAGATTCTGAACAGTGAGCATAAGAAACTCTATGCGGCTTGAGCTTTAATGCGCATTATATCCTTCTCCCCACCCAACTCTTTATCTCGTGTACATAGTTCTGACTAACTGTAGCAGAATATCAGCCTAGTGCTTCTCACTGAAACAAAATTGCAAGATTGAACTTATACAGATTGTAAAACAGCAGAGAACAAGTAGACATTTCCTTTTTGTAGTTCAATGGATCTAGGAAACAAATTAATCAATGATTGCTATATGTGCAAACCTTCCAAAACGACCATCACTCTAACCTCAGAACTTACTGATTTCTTTTTCGAAAAATAATCCAAAAACTTTCACTGCCACTTCACACTTGGCTACATAAATTTAACATCTTTCAAATGGGCATGTAATACTATGCCTATTTTTGTTTTCTTGGTGTGGTATATCACGGAATTTGAGTCCAAATCTTTTATTACTGTGCTTTTCCCATGTCATGTGTACAGGATTCCCTGTGTCATATTGTTCCCTTTCCTCTTCTAGCAAGACAAAAAAGGAAGACTACTGGTAGTATTGCAGTAATTCTCCTACATAGTTTCCTTCTGACTTGACTGGCATCATGGAATAATTAATGAGACCTTCATTGCAAATAAAATATCTTATGCTTTTCTAGTCTGTCTTTATTGCTTGTGATCTACAAGAGACCTTTACATGATTCAGTCTTCATTGGCTAATGCTTCATTTTCACCACGTCTACCATTAGTTTCACCAACCAATAGTTTGTATGACTTGGGTATGACACGTTCTTTGTTTTGGCAATTTCAACATTCCTCCTTGTCTTACTGTTCCATTATCTCAAATTTTCAGTAAGGGCTTTTACTTTCTGTCATTTGGTCGGAATCTGTAATGAATATGATAGTGTTCTCGTTGTTTTGTTATCAAACGTCTCATCTTATAGCTTAAACTTTTAGCCAAGGAACAAAGAAAAAATGGGAATACATAGAAATGCAAGCTGAAAACTGCTAATTAAAGAATTTATGATACCATGTTGTAAAGACAAATTGCTTTCCTTAGATGGTATATTTTCCTTCAGTTTTTCTTCATAAAACTTTTCATTTCTAGATTAGTTCCATTTAACCCCGTAGGCAAATCTTTAAAGATGAAAGCTGTCAAGTTTTATACTCCCTGGTAATGTTGAATGCTACTATGGCTTCATTCAAGTGAGGGCAGTAGGACTTGACTTGACCATAGTGGTGATAGACTCTATCTGCTAGTAGGACATTTGCTTTCTAGAACACCTTTTCTTGTCTCTCCAATTTAGATCCTCCTTATCTAACTTTTTGCTGGTGGCAAAGCTATCAGCATTTGTACAAGGTCCATGAGTTTCATAGAAATTCCAATTTCTGATATTTTCAGAAGGCTGTCAACTTATTTTGCTGTGTCATGCTTGTTTTTTTTATGAGTGTTTAATGCTTGTTTTCTCTTCAATCTATGCTAAATGCAATGAACCTTTGTTTATGATTGTTCTTTCCTTATTGATAATCAGGACAGGACCAAAGAGGACATTAAAGGAGATAGACCAATTGAGAAAAAGTTGCCCAAATGAATCAGACAACTAAACAATGGACCCACTAATGCTGTTACATTCTTGCTTTCCAATTTTTCCGAGTAATAACTTGAAATATTTAAAGTGCTAAAGCAGAGATTTTCCTCTTTTTAGCTTTTCTTTTCTCCTTTTTGGCCTATAACTAGAGTTTACTTCATGTTTAGCTATAAGGCTTTGACATGCTGCTACTTGTCACAATAAATTCATTTCGTCGCTGAAGGGAAAGAAAAAGAGATTGCTAAAGTTTAATTTGAAATGAGTTGAGGGAGCAGTTGATTATTTTATAGATGGTAACATTATGCTGAAGGTGCATTGTGCTTCAGAACAAAGTGTAAGAAGATGACAAGTTGCTTACAGATTTTTTATAAATTAAAATGGTCTTCAGGAAATAATATTGATGCCTTGAATCTATCCTGACATTTTTCACATGCTTCACTTGCTGACGTGGTCCCAGCGATGCCAAATATCTTCATCCTTTGTTTTGGTAATTCAAATCTCCACCCCTATAGGTCTATCAGGACATGTAATTTCTTTTCTTGATTGCTTAGGTCAGTAGATCGTGAATAATTGGATTCTGACTTGATTGTAACCTTCTTTAATGAAGTAAAGGAGGAGTCAAATGGCAATATAAACGTTTTGATGCCAACTTCTTTTACCTCAATAGGCAAGAAGCAGACACAACACTTTCTAAGAGTTCATTACCGAACCTTGCGTCTAGGGGAGGCTATGGAATGGAATAGTAAGGTATCTGTCTATCTGATCTGTTCCATCCACTAACACTATTTCGAAGGAAGGACAAGTTTCTTAGTCTTATGTTTTGTTACCTGCTTTTCCATATTGTAAGCTAACCATTAGATTGAACAGTTTTTATCCTTCTACTTTCCTTTCTTCCATACCAAACCCAGCTAGCCCCTTAGTTACTTACAGAAGTTATATTTATCGCGTATGCACTGAAAAGCATATACTTTTGGACTCCAATTTTTAGGTTTTTTGCATAGATAGCTCAAGTTTCCATTAAAATTAAGATCCATTTTACAAACTTACAAGTTTTAGTACCTTCCACTTCCATTCTTTAACTAAATGGACAAACCTGTTCATACAGTAAAAGGAGTTACTTTTTTATACTTGTCTACACTCCTGGTGCTCGACATCTGTCAATTAGCTGCTATGGAATTTCATTATTTTCCACCCAATCTTGTCAAAAATCTAGCAGGCATGTTTTGTTTAGTTTAATGTTTAGTCAAAATCATGAGAACATAACAATAAGATGAATGAAAATTTTTGTTTTGTTTGAGACAGCTAAAGTTTGGTTCATTTCGCTTTCAATTTTGAGGATAATAATGACAGTACACATTTGCCATGTAGATGCTCTTCAGAGGCACAAAGAGGATATATCTTGTGATCAAAATCATTGTAATCGAACCGTTTTGTAAATAGTACAAAGATCTTGGTATAGATTAGTCTTTTTTTTGATAGATGGTATAGATTAGTCTTAATTTGTAGTAAACTATGCTACTCTGCAGGGGGATGATCATGCTTGTCCTGTACAAAGCATCTGTTTGTTCCTGCAATCAAGGTTTTTTATGTATCAAAATATTGCAGGTTCTGTCCCTCATGCAAAGGGACTTACTGGACAAGTATTCAAAAAAAAAAAAAAGGGCCACTTATCGTTACTGGCTTGTTTAGAATAGGTGAAAGTAGAATGATTTTTTAGAACTTACTTTTGGTCAATGATCAATCTGTTCCAAGAGATTTTAATATTGAGTTAAGAGATAGTAAAGTCATCTTTTTATTCATTGAAATGATTCAAATAAAGTGTAGTTTCTCTTTTCCAAAGGGAGGAAAAGATAAAAAGATAGCAGTCCACATTTTCTGAACATATACAAATCTCCCCACTTCCTGAATAAAGCCTGAAAGGCTGAAAAAGTAACAGAGAATCTCTAGTTTAGGGAAAAGTTTCATGTAAAAGAAAAAACTTTGGTAAAATACACCTTGTTTTTACAGAATCTACAGATTTAAAGTTCGGGTGGTTTTACTGAAAACGTTTTTTTTTTTTTTTCCACTTGTGGAGGAACTGATACTTGTTTTCTGGATGTTTTAGTCGTTGTTATCAACAAAATTTGACTTTTAATTAGCATCAATAGAGTAAAACTTAGTTGAGTGGTAAGGATCATTGTCAAATGTGAAAAATTCCAGCATGGAAACAGTCAAATTGTTGTAAAAGAGAATGTCTTGTCCCAGTCCAAGAAGGAAAAAAAAAAAAGGAAATGGGGGAAAGAAAAATCAAGTAAATAGATATTGCATTCAACCAATTCTAATCATGCAACATCTTGTGGAAGTACAAAAAGGAAGGCTATATAGTGGGGCTAGACTATTGATTTTGAATGATAAACTTCCATGGAAGAATCTCTAATAATTTTTTTCCTTTATTATTTGAACAATAATGGACTTCAATTTGTTCTTCCACAGAAAAGTATTTTAGGAACATTAACAAATTGGTCTTGTCTAACAGTGCTGAAAAAGTTTGCAAAGTATCTGATTATCACACTGGATTAAAATGACACTCACTTTGAAGAATGTAACAAGAACTGGATTTTCAGTCTTTTCCAAAGTATTTTCACATTCATATGCTGCGAAGTCCTGGTGTTTCTTGGTCCCCACTAACTGAAATCTTTGAAGCAGAAAGTGAACAAACCCCAAGTTCACTTGCAGTCTTTCTTGAGCTAGACAGCTTTTGAGACTGCTTACAGTGAGCAATTGCTCCCTCAATAGAATTTTCAATCTCTGAATTCTCACTGTTGCTCCTTTTCAGCGACTGTAAATCACAGAATCCGCTTGAACTGAATGAAAAAGATGATGAAGAAGAAGAGGAACCAGATGTTGATGTAGATGTAGATGAAGACTTTGTTGGAGAATGCCTTTGAATTACCCCTGAAAAAGATCTCCTATGCCTATTTGCAGCATCCTCAACCAACTCCTTGTCGATGCTCCTCGTAATAATACTTGATATTTTGTATCTGTCATTATCAATCTTTCCAAATGGGTTCTTCTTTGCCATTTCCATGTACTTGTTTACACAATCTTTGCTCTCTGAAACATTTTCCGCTTCTGCATTGCATGTTGCTTTGGCACAAGACTCATTTGGACAGGCAGACTTACTAAACAAAGACTTAAGATACGCCCGGGATGCCTTGAGCTTTTGGCTTATTGAGGATTGCTTGATCTGCTTGAGCTTTCTAGACCAAGACTTCTTCGAATTATTGCCAATGAAGCCATTCAGTTCAGTTGACCATTCAAAGAAATAGTCATCCGGGTTTAGTTCACTACTCACCCTGCAGGATTCTGTCGGTGAGATGCTGCAGGATTCCAATGGGGTACTTGTATTAGTTGAACGAATAGCAGAGATTGTTATGAAAGGAACAGCAGGATTTTCTTCAAAAGGCGCTTCAGTTTTGCACTCAAATGTAGTACTGTTGGAAATTTGTAGTAGTTTCTGAACCATTTGCAAGCGAGGAGGGAGGTGGAGGGGAAGGAGCTTTCCTTTGTAGAAGAGCTCATCAGCTGGGGAAGTTGAGGTAATTTCTCCATCTCGAGAAACTGAACACATTTGGAACTCAAACTCTTTGCTTTGTGGTGGAGAGCTTATAGAGTAATACAAGAAGTTGGAGGATGAGCTTACCTCTATATCAATATAGTCTTCATCGGCATTGTTAAATGAAGCTTGGCTTTTGCCCATCTTTTGAACCGTCAAAAGCCTCTCTCTTTCTCTCTTGGATATGCTCAGCTTATGGGGAGGTGAGCTTGGTGAGGAAAGAAAGGGGCAGGCAGGGCATCCTTTAAAGCGAGAATGGAGCCAAGTTAGAAAAATAAAATCGTAAGGTAAGGAGTTATCTGTTATTTTCCTTTTTTCCCCACACTCTTTTTCTCCTTTGTAGTAATATCATGAATGGTTCCAAACAATAAAATTCCGAAAACAGTGTGGATTTTTCCCCCCTCAGCTGAACAGCTTCTGAGTGACCCATGCATGTATTACTAGTATTTTGCATTTTTATCCCTTCAATTCTGCATCAAAATTTGTGGCTCACATACAGTACCCTTGGCTTGAATTATGTTATTACTTGAGTAATAGTTTTTTTTTTTTTGAACCATTTCATCATTTTACCTCATGCCCTTTTTACCTCCTAAATTCTGCATTCAAAAGGTGAATTACAACCATTTGTCTTGTTATTCCAATTTTTTCAGTTTGGAAGAAAAGAATGCAGAGAAACTTCTCATTATGTTTATTATTGTTGAAAAACGTAATTGGGAGAAAGAATGTTTTCTGCATTAATCAAATAGGTTACAACAGATAATTATATACACAATATCGTAACCTAAAAATAATAACAAAATCCCTGCAAAATAGAAAACTACAGAATTGGTATATACACCTAACCAAAATCCTAAAAATTAGGGAATCACACAAAATCTTCTATAGTCACACGGCTTTTCTAATAAAGTCATATAATTCGACACTCCTTTTCAAGCGGATGAATGGATATCCTTCATTCCGAGCTTGCTAACAATATCCTAAAACACAGTGCCTGGCAGCCCCTTTGTGAGTACATCTACTAATTGATCCTGTGATGAAACAAATGGAGTACATATTAGGCCGTTATCAAGTTTCTCCTTGATAAAATGTCTATCAACTTTTATATGCTTCATTCGATCTTGTTGTACTGGATTATGAGCAATCCTAATGGCAAATTTGTTTTCACAGTATAATCTCATTAGTCTTTCCCATTTAATCTTCAAATCATCAAGAATTATTTTTAACCACAATAGTTCACATTCCTATTGCTATTGACCTAAACTCAAACTTTGCACTTGATCTTGCTACCACGTTTTACTTCTTACTCCTCCACGTTACAAGATTCCCTCCCAAGAGGGTGTAATAACCTAAGGTTGACATCCTGTTCACTAGAGATCCTACATAATCAACATCGATATAGGCCTGGATTATGAGCAATCCTAATGGCAAATTTGTTTTCACAGTATAATCTCATTAGTCTTTCCCATTTAATCTTCAAATCATCAAGAATTATCTTTAACCACAATAGTTCACATTCCCATTGCTATTGACCTAAACTCAAACTTTGCACTTGATCTTGTCACCACGTTTTGCTTCTTACTCCTCCACGTTACAAGATTCTCTCCCAAGAGGGTGTAATAACCTAAGGTTGACATCCTATTCACTAGAGATCCTACATAATCAACATCGGTATAGGCCTCTAATATCTTGCTGTCTCCTTTCATGAACAAAATACCTCTTTCGATGTTGCCCTTTAACTATTGTAATATTTTATGAACTGCCTTGAGATGCGTTTCTTTAAGATTGTGCATAAATCTACCAACAACACATAGAAAATGCAATATCTGATCTTGTATTTGCCAAATAAATTAGCCTCACAATTAGCCTCTGATAAGAGCCTCTATCGACTACGGGATCCTCTACAGCATCACATAGTCCATGATTGAACTCAATGGGCATGTCAACAAGCTTACAACCCAACTTCCCTTTTTCTTTTAGCAAATCAAGCTTATACTTCTGCTGAGAAATAAAGATCCCTTGTTTTAAATATGCCATTTCAATACATAGGAAGTATTTCAATTTTTGAAGTTCTTTGATGTCAAATTCTTTTAGAAGGTATCGTTTTAAATTGTCCATCTCTCCTACATCATTGCCTCTTACGATAATATTGTCTACATACACCAACAAAGCTATCATTCCTCCTAGATCAAAGTGTCTTACAAATAAAGAATAATCACATTGGCTCTGTTTATATCCCAAGTTAGTCATCGCCTTGGTGAATCTTCCACAAAAGGATCTCGGTGATTGTTTAAGTCAATAGAGAGCTTTTTTCAACTTATATCCATTCCCTCTTTAGATTCAAATCCAAGAGGAACTTTCATAAAAATTTCTTCCTCTAGGTCACTCGTGGAGAAACGCATTTTTAACATCAAACTATTATAGATTCCACCTGAAATTGGCAACCAACGACAAAAGAACCCGCATTGTATTCATCTTCGCAATAGGGGCAAACATCTCAAGATAATCAATGCCATAGGTTTGAGTGTACCCTTTGGCAACCAGCCTTACCTTGTATCTTTCTATTAAACTGTCAGACTTGTACTTCATGGTGAAAACCCATCTACATCTAATTGATTTTTTTCCTCTCAGCAATTTGACCAACTCTAATGTCTTGTTCTTTGCAAAACCTTCCATTTCCAGTTTCATATCATCTCTCACTTCTTGTCTCCTAATGCCTCAGATAGATTTCTCGGAATGGGTATTGTGTGAGGGTTGCTTAAGAATACTTTATGGTTTTGGGATAGATTTTGGTAGGTCAAAAATAGGTACAGAAGACATTTAGTACATGTTCTGGTTCCTTTCCTAAGTGTAATTAGTAGATCGACATCACTTAATTTTTTTGGTTCATCTACTAGTTTAATAGGCTCAGCTGATAGTATGATATTTTCGGTGGGTATGAAAATGGTTTTGGGAATCTGAGCAGCAGCACAATAGGAGATTGTACTAATACCGATAGAGAAACTGAAATTTTTTTCCTAGAATAGACTTGTAGTGGTTGAATATTGTCTTGTTTCCTCTTATCTTTCATCACCTCACATGACTTGGATGACTCAACAAATGGTACAGACTTAACAAGTGACTCAACAAATGAAGTAATAGGTTGAACGAGTGACTCAACAGGTGACTCAACAAATGCGGACTGAACAGGCACTGAAACGGGTTCAAATGGAGACTCAATAGGCTGATTGGAAAAATAAAAAAGAAACAGGTCCTTCACTTTATCTTCACTCAACTTCCTTTATGAAGATAAGAATGTTGAAAAAATGACTCATTTTTTACAAAACTAACATCAGCAAAGACAAAAAGATTTTTGGTAGGTGGATGGTAACATTTGTACTATTTTTTATGTGAAAAAGTACCCAACGAAAATACATTAAAGAAAATGTGGATCAAGTTTTCCCTTGTTTTGAAAATGGACATGAACAAAGGCAATACTTCCAAAAATTCGAGGAATAAGATCGTTTGAAGTATTGAAATTGAAAAAAAATTATGTGAGAATTTCAATTGGACTTTTGAAGGGAAAGATCTGAGTTGAAAGTCTGTTAATTAGATGAATAACGGTTAAAATGGCTTCTCTCCAATATGTTTTAGGAATATTTTTGTCCAATATGTTTTAGGAATATTTTTGTGAAATAATAAAGCTCTTGTGACATATAGAAGATGGTCATTTTTATGCTCGGTCACTCCATTTTGTTGTAGGATACTAACATAAGAGGACTCGTGAATGATTTCTTCTTTTTAAGAAAAAAACAAAAGAGAATTTGATTGAAATAATTCCTAATATTATCAGAACAAAACATCTTAATTCTCACATCAATTTGTGTTTTGATTATGTTGTAAAAATTAAGAAAAACAGTGCCAACATCATATTTATTTTTCAAAAGATAAATTCACATTACTTGAATATAATCATCAATAAACGAAACAAACCACTTAGCATTAAAAATATTTGGAAGCATAGAGGGTCCCCAAATATTACTATTAACGAGAGAAAATTGATTAAAGGATTTTGTATTGCTTATTGGAAATAAAGCATGTTTATGCTTGATAAGTTTACAATCATTACAATAAAAAGACTCAAAAATAGACCCTTTAAATAACGAAGGAAACATCAACTTAATGACATTAAATAACGGATGACCTAAATGATGATGATAAAGACAAATTTTATTTTTATTTGGCATGACTCAAAAAGAAATGATGCAAATAGAGGATTATCAACTCTAGTTCTTCATTTTGATCTTCTAGGTAGTAAAGACCATCCCTCTCACTAGCACGTCCAATTGTCCTCCTCATGTCTTGCTCATGAAACACACAATGTGAAGGAAAAAAAATGTTACATTGCAATTGGAATCTTTGGTAAGTTTTTTAATGGAAACAAGATTCGCAAACAGTTTTAGAACATGGACATTTTTTAGCATAAGAGAATCACTTATATAAATGTCCCCTTGACCGGCTATAGTGGTAATGGACATCAACTGTAGTTATTTTTCTATGACTAGAACAAGGAGTATAGGATGATTAAAACTTAGAGGAATAGGTTATGTGATCAGTGGCTCCAGAATCTATCACCCACATCTTTGGAGAAATTTTTCTAAGACATTAGCAACACGAGAAGAAGAAGAAATACCTGAAAATGCCAAAGAACATGTACTTACCGAGGAAGGTTTCTCAAGGGTCCCCAAAAAATTCTTCAGTTTTTGAATCTCTTCCTTGTTGAAATTAGAGATCGAACTTTGGAAACTCCTTTCATTGCTTGATTGAGTGCTTGTCACATATGCTTGACCTCTGTCATTTGCACTTCGGTTGGACCTACCATGGACTTTCTAGCATTGCTCCTTGGCGTGGCAATGCTTCTTATGGTATGTGCAAAATAGGGGAATCTCGATTTATGGACTTGGACTGATTTGCTTGGAAGACAAATTACGGTGGGCTAGATTCATTCAAACCAATTGTTTTGGTCACAAGGGTAGAACTATCTCCTCTGTGGGTCTCAAGCATAACACTTCATTATCCTTCTTTCGCTCTTATGATCGAAATTGTCTCAGTTAAGAAGGGTTGGTCTTCTTTTTCAAAATTTACACTGTAACGGCATCGAACTCGGTATTTAAACTGGCAAGAAAGTCATAAATACGATTTTTCTCCATGAACTGCTTCAGAAATAGCTGCATCCTTATTGCAACGCATTTGAATACATTGATAGGGTCCATCTCCTGCCACAAGCTTTGCAAGAAACTTTAATTTTCTGTGACAGTTCGAGTCTCTTGTTTGGTTGCTGAAATTTTTGTCTTAATTTCATAGATTTGGGCAGCGTCATGAACCTTGGAGTATGTTTGTCGGATAGCATCCCAAATCTCCTTGGCGGTTCCGAGAAACATACACGTATCGCTAATTTCTGGTAGCATCGAATTCCATAACCACGACATCACCATTGAATCCTGTTCGTCCCATGCCGCAAATTTGGGATCATCCTTCGAAGGACCCGTGCCCAACAAATGGCTCAATTTCCCTCTGCCCTTCAAGAACGTGCGGACCAGTTGTGACCACTTCAAGTCATTTTTTCCGTTCAATCGATACGCCGCTTGAATGTTTTGTAAATCCCCGGTTGATGCAGCAGCAGTATTCTCAGTTGCAGGGGCATCCGAGACAGGGCTGGTTTCGGTGGACTCTGACATATTCGCTTGAAAGGAAAGAGAAGACCACGGACAAGAAAATATGAGTGAAGAAACAAAAAATATTGGGATGAACAGAGATGAAAGAATACGGCCAAAATAGAATAGAAGAGAAGAAAAGGAAATTTCAGAAATTTTCAAGAAAGAGCCAAAAGCTCTGATATCATGTTGAAAAACGTAATTGGGAGAAAAAAAAATTTTTGCATTGATCTAATAGTTTACAACATATAATTATATACACAATATCGCAGCTTAAAAACTATAACAAAATCCCTACAAAATAAAAAATTATCCAACCAATATATATACCTAACCAAAATCTTAAAAATTAGGAAATCACACAAAAGCCTCTACAGCTGCACGACTTTCCTAATAAAACTACATAATTTGACAATTATCATTCCTTTTTCTCGTTTGAATTTGACTTGCAACCATAGCCAATGAACTTCTGACACATACAACTAGCAAGCCTAAGGATGAGCTTAGAACCATCTGATCAAATCCCCATAATGCAAAGGACTGTATAGATTGTAGAAAAGTGGATAACACTGTTAGTGCACCCTGTGTTTTTTGAAGCACTTCAATGTTGCCATGATTATATACTTTGAACTTGAAATAGGGTGCAGAAAGGTAAGAATCTTTCCACCGTCAGAAAGAAAGTGACAGTACCCTTTGTTTTTAGTGAAGTTTCAATGTAAGCAGCACACAGAAATCTCTTCAACAGTGTTAAAGAAAATGAAAGTAGAAGAAGAAGAATAGATCAAAAGAGCTCAGATGGAATCTTATTTGAAACTATGATATGCATGCATGATAGTGAATGCACCTGGGAATTCTCAAGGATTTAGGCATCTGCTGCCAGTCTGCCTTAGTTTGACTGTACATATCCACTTCCCTTATCAGACCATAATCTTTACTCATTACCTACAAAGTTGTACAGTTCTTAACCTACTTGGTAAAGTGAAGTACGTTTTTCTCTCTAGTTTATTAATTTGGTTCAATCCTAGAAACGGCATTACTTATAAAATATAGATACCAATTATATATATACAACAAGACTTGTTGTTGTCTGCACATCCACAAACTTCTCTGCAGCAAAATTTAAATTTTAAAAGGCCAGCCCTTTATCCAAAACCTGGTTTTTTTGCACTGTCAAGTTACAATTCAATACTAAAAAATTAGAGCCTAAGAGAGAGGGAGAGAGCTATTATTATGTTTACAAGTTTCCAAACCTTTAAGCTAAATTATATATATTCTGATTCTCCAAGAACTGCTATGTGATATATCAGCCTATGTATTGTATTGTATGCCAACCAGCATTTGACTTGGTCAAAGCATGGGGGAATTTTTAACTCTTTTTTCCTTTCCTGATTATTCTTCCATTTTTAGAAATTTTCACTGCAGCTGTTGACTTCACTAACTACAAACATAAGCTCAATTCACCCAAAAAACCAAGTACAAGCTCCAATATTTTGGTGGTGGGACGCGTTTTATCCAAGGGTCGAGGGCCTTTTTGCCTGTCTCCTCTTGTAGTAACTGTTTACTTTGGTCAAAATCCTCCAACTTTGATCCAAAACCAGCCACAATATTCAATAAGCACATTGCACCTTGAATTTGTAGTTTTGTATATCACACCTGTAAGCCCTAAAAACAAGAATAAATGAAAAGTTAACAATCACTAGCTCAGTGTTGTAGTAAAAGAGTTTGAGATATAAATTTTAACTGGGGGGTAAAAAACCTTTTAGTTTCTTTTTTTTTTTTTTTGTGGGTGAAATAATGAATGAAGATTCAAAAGAAGGAATTAAATATAAGGTAAGCCGATTTTGCTGCAACAAATAACGCAGGTGATCACGTGATGCTGGTCTGAGCACCAAAAGCTTTGTTCATGTACAGGTCACTCAGCTCACAGGGAAAGGATCTCAGTTCTCACTTTCATAAGTGGCAATTAGCTTTTAACTCTAATGCCTGCATCATTTGCCTGCATCATTTGCCTTCCGAGGCTTCTGAGCCACTGTCAAAAAGAAACAAAGTTGCAATTACAACTCAGAGCTGAGATCTAAAAGTTCAAGGCCAAGGCCCAATGGCATGGGACTCACTTTCAGAAAACTCCCTTTACAAGTGGATTTGAATGCATTATGTTGAGGACTAGTGGAAAGATTAGTAGTACTATAGTAGCTTGAAATTATTGCAATCTTTTATTGAGTTTTCAGAGCCGACGAAATCATCCTATATAACATCATTAATGAACTTATGCATAGTTTCCTCAGGTCACCGTCGCTGCAATCAACCCTTTTGACGGAAGCACCATTGTACCTCTTGTTTTGCATATTTTGCTGGTAAAAATTAAGGAAAAAATCCCCTTCAATATCTAGTTAAACCCAATTTTTTGTTGATAATTATGATCAAGTCCGAGTAATGTTATCATTTCATTCTCGACATCCTCCTCCCCTGCATGAAAACACGAGTAAGTTTCTTGTGATCAAACAGAAACATAGAGCTGAAGAACATGGAAGATAGCTTGACTTAAAGAAATATACATAAGTAACATTTGTTCAGAGTTATCTATACATTTCAGTTAAAAAAAAAAAATTTGGAGAATTTACACCACAATATTGGACATACAATGAACTATCAGTTCTCTGATTGCAGCTGTTGCTGAAGTAACTAGATATCTTACACATTTTTTTTAACCTCCACAACAATAAGATAGCTTCATCTCTTTCTAGAGGCATATCATGACACCATATACCAGATAAATTAGGCAATGTTTGGTTGCTTTGATTAGTTGCTGGGTTTTAGATCCTTTTCAAATGCATCATACTCCCACTCTACAATCTCCTCCATCTCATATTCCGAACTTTCTCCATCATCATTTTCCAACTCAAAGTTCACTTTCTTCTGTTGTGCCTTAATCGTGGCAGCCTTTAATCGCGACCATGGATTTTTCTGTGACTTTGCACTGGACGGTGACTGTGATTTTTGCCTTGGAGTTTCAACTTGTAAGGTTGGTTTCTCAATAGATTCAAATTCTTGCTTTATACTTTCAAGATCATCAAATAGCTCTTTGACCCTTTCATCATTTTTCCTGGGTCACGACCATGTCCCATTAATGGCCACATTGATAAAGGCAGGTATATAAAACATTGATAAAGTATTAATATAATTCCACATTGATAAAGGGAAAGAAAAACAAGATAGAATTATATACCTGTGAATGCCTTCACTTGGAGAATAAAACTGTGATTTCATTGAATCCACTACACCGAAGGAAGTTATAAACTGAACAAAGAAGGAAACATGTCATCTCTTAACATGATAAATGATATTGTGCATAGTGCAGATAAATAAATATAAGGCACACAAAAATTCAATAATCATTTAAGCACCTGACATTTTATTGCAATCAATTACGTCTTGAATTTTTTATTTTTGATCAGATGAACCCTTAAACATATATTTTCACCCAATTGAACCCTCAAACATCTATTTTCATCTCAATTAAGCCCTCAATTGGATGGAAATAGGTGTTGCCAAGTAACCAACTTTCGTCTAATAAGGGCTCAATGAATGAAAATAGATATTTAAGGGTTTAATTAATTGCAATAAAATGATAGGAGTTTGGATGATTATTGAATATATGAATAATAGAAATATGCATTTTTTTCTGGAAACAAAGAAAACTTATAAATTCAGAAATATTGTATACACATAGAAGGAAAGAAAAGTAGTTTATGAATGTAAACTAAATGAAAACAGAACAATGTTAAGGCTATAACCCAGATGTTCAAAATTTGATACACACCTTGGATTCAAGGTTCAGATATTCTTCTTCAACATTTTTTCTTTGGTTAAGACCTTTTTGAGATTCAGTCTTAGCTGTTTCCCCTAACCTGATTTAGTAAAAATTATGAAACTTGACTTAATCATGCACTGAAAATTTCAAAGAAACAAGTCATTATACCTTCCACTTGAACCCAAGGTCTCCACCAGATGCCTAATTCGTGAGATAGAAGGCCCGAGTTGTTCCTTAATATTGAATAGAAACATATGTGTCCATAAAAATGAGGAATTCTTATTGGACAGAGCAATGAATGGCATCATCAAGTTTGAGGAGCTTTCCAGATAAGATGTAGAGCAATACCTTGTAAGCAGAAAAAAGGTGAATGACCAGATTCACAAAATATTCTCCATATCTCTCTAGTTCACCACTAGCAAATTAAAATGAAAAAGAAAAATCAAAATTCAAAGTAATCATTTAACACTTTAGAGTTAGATACAATAACTCAGGAAAATATAAAGCATAAATTAGATAAATAATTTCTTGTTTTGAACCGGATATATAGTCAATAGAAGTGCTAGCATCAATCCATTAGCTAGTCAGAAGAAAGGTGATGTACATACTTGACCTGCTTCTCCTTTTGTTCATTATAGGTGGTTTGAAGAAACCATGTATCTTCCAGAAAATTAATCCATGCATTGATGACACCTGCTTCTACGCTATATGAAGCAATAGATTTTGAAATTTCCTCTTCCTAGGACCAGAAGAAACAGGAAGAAAAAAAGTATAATTAGAAAAAAAAAGGTCCAAAACAGATGCCAAATTGGTCTAGCAAATTCTGATATGACTAGAGAGATACCTATACAAGCATATGATCTAATTAGTACCATGGAGAGAGTTAAAGCAATTATACCTTTGTTTTCAGGTGTAATAGAATCTGGTTACTGGCATCATCAAAATGGTCTTGCTCTTCCCTGGCATTGCGAAGGCGTGAACGAGCAGCAACAAGTGATGCATTAACCTGAATCAGAGTCACAGCCATAATAGTAATCCCACTCTAGAACATATGGAGAAAAACCCCAGGACTGATGTATCGTTAAGATCTTGGTAGCAATAGAATTGGTAATTCATTTTTGACACTCATGACCACACACAAAAGAAAAAATAAAAAAGGGTAGACTGAACTTAACTGAGTAATGACAGATGATATACCATTCAGAAAAGAAAATTTCCCCAAGAAGAAGAAGAGTACTGGAATTATTAAAGAAAAACCTTTTTAAGTTCAGCTTCAAGTTTATCTTTTTGCTTCTCAAGCTCTCGAATCCCAGCTGCCAGTTCCTGGGAAATTCCATATCAATTATCTTTGATAGTCCATGTAGAAAAGAAAGAAAAAAAATAAAACAAGAAAAATTTACTTCAATGTGTAAATGTTACATCAGAAATCAGTTGAGAAAGTACTACCTGATCCACAGATAACATTTGGAAACTTAAAGTCCCTATGGAATCCTCATTCCTTTATGTTATGATGACAAAGCAATTGATAAAGAGAATGGAAGCACAGGCATTACATTGAGTGTCATTCATACACTTTATACAGGAAAAAGTTTCACAGAAATATAAATGGAAAACAAAACTTTGAAAGAAAATCATACTTTATATGTAGATCAATACCACATAGATGGTCAAGACAAATAGGAGATGGAGGAAGGATCAATGCCTTCTATGTATTTCAGAAAGAAAGCAACCAAAATGACTGGTTATGTGAAGTTCTTCATTTGATATTCCAATTAGAAAAGGACAGAGCATCCCTTGAGGAACAGTACCTTCTCAAGTTGGCTGACTTCGTTGGCTTTAGCAACACGAAAGCTAAGCGCTTCTTCTTTCTGAAACCTGATTGGAACACAGAGGGAAAAGGGAAAAAAAAGGCACCTTGTAACAATAAGATACTAAGTGAATAACAGAATGTTTCATGGAAATTAAAAAGGAAACTTAAGCCATTCAAACACACTGAACATTGTCTTTGCTTCATTGACATAGGAATGTTACATTTTCCGGTGAATGATAATGAGCATCTAACCAGCACATCTGGTTAACACTAGCAAATTTCCCAGATTCATATTAGTTTGATAGTTCATTTACTTTAAAACCAAATTGGAAAATGGATTTTAAACCTTTGCTCTAAAATGCGTTTTTCAGCCTTTGATGTTGAGTTAATGAGAGATTCTGATAAAACTTTTAATTTGTCCACCTGCAAGAAAAATGGACCATATTATAATAGCATGATTAACAGTTACAGTAAGCATAAGGCCAGGAAAACCATTACTGGTAGCATAAACTATCAAAAAATTACTAATTAATAAAAGAAAAAGAAACACCTGATAAAATATAAAAAAGACTATCTGTTATACCTCAGCCCAAAAGACAAGTGAGCTAGAGTATACAAAGCTCATTGGTACATTAGGGGCCTGATATTAGCGAGAAAATAATCACTCTAGATTGTCAGACCTATTTCAGGGTGTGACACTATCACAGTCACATAATGTCATACTGGTTTTCTTATTTTATTTTATTATTTCAATAACTAATCTATAATTGATCATTGAATGGATTTTGGTTTTCCAAACATATCTTTCCAAGATGTGATGATAAAAAAGACATTTTCAAAAGGGTAACAGAGTAGAGCAGGTAAATTAACAGAACAAAAATACAGCAGGGTAACATAACATGCACTTGCTTTATGATAGGATGGCATGAAGTCTCTTCCTAAAAACACCTTAGCACCTTGCCATGTTTAAAAGGGAACTACTGGTGGTTAGCCTCAAATCTTGTTCAACACTTTGCAGTGTAACAAAGGCTATATGATATAAACAAGAGACGCATACTTTTTAGGTGGAAGAGAGGTACCTTTTCAGCATGAAATTGTGGAGAATCCCCATTGCTTAAAGATTTTTTCTTTAGTAAGAGTGCCTCCAATCTGGAATATAGCCTTACTAGTCCAAGAGCTTCTGTAAGATCCTACAGGAAAGATCAAAACATTCAGTTTTATTGAATCATAAGATACTGTGCACTATTTGATTCATTAGCTATCTGATACACCTGAGGACCAGTGAAATATACGAAAATGGCTCAATCATGAAAGCTAAGAATGTAATGATATTTAGGAAATGATAAAAATTAAATAAATAAAATAACATGAACATTGTTCATTAAATGAAAAACTAGGACAAGCCCCTGCCTCACTCTACCTTGTAAATGAATATTAGGATATAACTGTAGTATAGTAGCAATAGTTATTTATGGAAGAGCAAACTTCTTTTTAAGCCCAAAAAACCGAATTGACCAACTAAATTTGGTGCAAACAGGCTGGTTAATTAGGCTTTTCAGTTTTAATTGCAAGTGGTTACATCTGTTCAGGCTGTTAGGTCAGTTTAGTTAAACAATGTTCAAATCAGGAATTGTGCACAAGTATGCATGAATAATTGTATTAGCTTTCACCTCTATCATTGCAGCAATTTTCTTTTCAGATGATTCTTCATGACCTTCACTTGACGGGTTCTGGAGTGCCTTCATTTCTCCAAGTTTTTCCTTAAGACTGTAGGCTTCAGCATCTATTCTGATAGGAGACAAAGAAAAAAGTGGAAGGAAAAGAAAAGACTACATTTCAGTTCTATTTTGTGGCAATTAAACATGCCTGCAAATGTTTATAATTGCTTGAACATGTGGAGAAATGATAGTCAATCCATATTACACAATCAAAAGTGAGGTTTATTGAAGATCAAAGTTAAAATGTAGCCAAGAGTTTATAAATCTAGCAGCATTTTCATCGAAAACTTGTATCCCAAGGAACATCAGTCACATCTGGATTTCCATTAGCTTTAAAACAAGAAGCCATGAATCAATCCCCTTAAGATTCATACCAACATCAATAGTTACAGGTACCAAAGCTCTAGATGATAAGTCCATGTAATAAAGATCCAGGATGTTATTAAGGGAAAAATATTTGGAAGCAGAATCATTTAAAACACCAATTTAAGTACTGCAAATAATTAGGGAAACGCCACATGAACATAAAGAAACACAAACAAATAGTTGGTTCGAAATAATAATTGCAGATGTAGAGAGAACTGTACAAAGAAATTTGAAAGTTGTGAATCATTAATGCGCAAATATGCAGCGATAGAAAATATATTATAGTTGACCACCTTGCTTGATCAGCATTTATTTTGATCCCTGCAATTGCAGCTTTTGCATATTGGAGTAATTCTTCTCGTTTTACCTACAAGAAATAAGAGGGAAAGAATGAGAAGGGGTCATATTTATGTTACTTAAAGTAAAATGAAACGATCTGTTATACAAAATTGTATCATATGTTAAGAATAGTACAATGTGCTTACCAATACTTCCTCCTGGTAGTTTGAGAATGTCATTGCTAAATTCTTTATGCTGGTCATTACTGCTTCATGAACTTCCTTCCCTCCTGCAAGACAAATCCTGTGTATGACCAAACCAAGAAGAAGTTTACTTGGAATTCAGGTAACAAGAAGCCAACAGCATATAAGTCTTCTAAACACATTCTCTCCTCTCCACATAATTGACCCAAAAATAACTTCAAGCAATTAATTTAGGGCAGTATGGCCAATCAGACACTAAAAGAGTGAGAAAAATCACCGAAATATCTCCATAAATAGTGAAACTTCCTCCTCATTTGGTGCTTCGAGAATCTGAGTCATACAAAAGAGTTACCCTGCGGTTAAACTCAATCAATCAGCAAATACAAAACCCAAATATATATGCATGGCAGACAAAATTACACGAAAATGCAGAAAAAGTATCATTATCATAAAGCTACAGCTTTTAATAGGAGTGCCAAAACCTCTAACCAAGTATAAAATTTGTTTTTTCAGGTTGGTTCTTAAATGATTCTGATATACCCTTAAACCGCTATATGAAGCAGTATATCAGTCTATCACAGTCCAGGTCGATCTGCAGGATAAATATATCTAGATTATACACTCCAGCTAGAAATGGCCTAACGTAATGATGATAACAGATACGATCCTTAATTTTAGTAAGAATCAATCTATAGATCATCAAATATTGCTCTCCCATGTACATGACAAGTCATTGAAGCAACATATGTAAACAAAATATGACATCAACATAACCAAAGTTTGGGGTTAGCTACCCACAATACTTTCTCTGACTCTTTAGCTTTAAGAAGATTTCCTTTATAACAAGTTCCATAGTCATAGTTACTCTTAACACAGAGTAGAAGGGAGGAGATTTCCTTTATAGCAACCTCCTTTCCAATGATAATAGTTAGCGTTATGATTTATGAATTCAAGCACAAACTTACTCAAAATTGTTATGATTACCAAGTATAGGTTCATTGCTAATGATCACAATTTTTTGTAAACTATAATTTAGGGTTCATTTATGAGCATGATAGGAGGGACTCCTAGCATGCCCTGATGTTGTAAAATACAGCTATAGAGCAGTGAGAACCCCTCCCACCACGCTGCCAAATAAACCCTTAATTACCTCTCCACTGCCTAAAATACACTTGTAATTATAGTTCTTTTCCATTTAACTTAAATTATACAAAAAAAGCCTAAATTATTATGACATATGCAGAAAAAAAAAAAAAAAAGGAAACATTGGCATTAGTCATTAGGCACTTACCATTGACAATGTCATTCCTTCAAGAGCTTGGCTATAAAGAAAAACCTCCCGAAAATTCATTGGTTCACCAATTTCAGGGTCAAAGTAATAAACCTGTGATCAATAGTAACATAATTACAAACATTAACAAAATCTAAAAAAACAACTTTTTTTAAAAGATTAATATAAAATTTAACGAAAAAACTACAAAAGGATTACCGACCAAAGTTGGCTTTTTTGGAGAATCCTTAATCTCCTCGAAAGAAAACTGATCATCAATATTTTTGTCATTATCATTATTACTAGTAGTGTCATTGTTGTCTTTATCATCATTAATATCTTTATCATTTTGATCATTGAATAATCTGTCGATTTCTTTAAGGGCGACGACCCATCTTCTTAAAAGTTGGACCCTTTCGACTCCTCTACATGACACCGAAACTTCTTCAAGTCTTTTCACCGTTATCCGAAAGTTTTGCATATTCCTGGCCGCCTGATTAACGTAAAAAATAAAATTCAACAGAAGAAAGATATTGTCGCCAAAAGAAGTTAAACGCCGTTGTTCAGAATTGAAAAGGAGAAAATATGAATTGTATTACAATGCGGTCCTGGAGAATCTTGGCACCTTCCACCACGGCGGACCCAGCATGTTGCACAACGGAATCGGCGACGCTCCGGACGGTGCGTGTCAAGTTGTTGTTTCCTCCTACTTCCACCGCTCTGTTCACTGCTGTTCTTATCCATGACATTTTCTTCTTACCTCAAATACAACGAATTTCAATAAAAAAAAAAAAGAGAGGAAAGACAACTAAGCTTAAAATGGCGTTTGATTGTTGTCGTAAAAAATGTTACTCCTGCATGTTAGGAAAACCGACGAAACAAGAGAAAAAAAAAAACTAAAAAGTATAAAAATATAAAATTTAAATGATAAACATAATTCCTGCATTGTTCGAGTCCCATGCCTGTTCTTTCGCTTTCTTACTTTCTGTTTAACGACCAACGTTTTTTTTTTTTTTTTTTTTTCTATTTTTTAAATTTCAGAAAACAAAAAAGAATTGCTACTGAAAGCCAACTAGCCAAGTTAAAAATTTTATAAACCCAAAACGAAATTATTAAAATCGTTATTAAATATGGAAAATTCAGCTACACTGCTTTTGGCTCAAGTTATGACAATTTATCTTTTTTATTACCCAACCAATCTCTCACCTTTTCACTCTTTTACTGCTCTCTTTTAGGGGTTTTTCTTTTAGGGGTTTTTTTTTTTTTTTTTGAAAAAAATTGCAATTTTTTATTAATAAAATTCTTGTTTTCTAATTTCCATAAACCAATTATTAAATTCCCACAGCCTCAAAATATAAACTTCTATAAAGAGAAAAATCACATGATGGTTTTTTATAAATGATAATTATTTGCCTCTGCATTACCTATCAGATTCAAAATCTTGTTCACTGTCAAAGGCAATTTCTCAATATTAAAAGCAAGAAAAAGAAAACGAAAAGAAATAATATGTTAATAATTGTTTTTTTTTCCCTGCAATTAAGCTTGAAACTTCCTAGTTTGAATCTTATTGTTTCCTGTAAATAAATCATATAGTTGAACAAACAAATGTTTCTATATCTATAGGTACATACAGCTATGGGAGGCAATGGCTTTGATTTTATTCATTTGAACTACCTATTCATTACAAGATGACTTCTTACGGACCATTTGAAGGTCACCAATAAATATAAACGTGTGGAAGCAAGGTTAAAAGCTTGAAGAATGTTAGAATTATCTATTATCTTCTCTCCGAGGAACTTTTATATCATCTTGTCGGTAGATGTAAACTCTATCCTTTCAGCCACGAATTATCTCAATCGATATCCGGCAATGGCACTTTCCAGAAATTCCACGAGTTAAAATCTTCCTGCAAAGGTATTGGTATATCAGGAATATCATTTAAGGCTCCAAAATGAATCAGCGACAGTTGCAGAGAATTTTTCATTTGTTCTTTTGCATTATATCTAAAGACAGTGAAAAATTTACTCCTTACCTGCTCAACCAATGAGGTTGGTGGAAACATGTCATTAACTAGAGTATGCAACGACATGTATGACCTCACATCAATAAAATGACTAATAGCCACCTCACCCTGCCAGTTATGAGTCCGATTGTTAGAAAGTTGATACCATAACCCCAGACAGGTTTTGTTTAATTTTTTCTTCTGTTTTTGTTTTCTCATAAGTAGGACATAAAAAAAAAACATGTACCTTTGGGTTAATAATAAATATCTTGCCATTTGGAATTCCAATTTTTCTATAACTGAGCTTATCTGTGTCTCTGTTTCCAAAGCCCGCATAAAACGGATTGTAGTCAGAAGGGAAAAGTTTCTTGATATCCTGCAATGGACATATAAGAAATAAATCAAAGGTGAAATGACTGATCCTATAGCAGTAATTGTTTCCATCAACATTGAGAAACAGGGTTGAGTATTTCAGATTCTACCTCTAAACATCCTATTTTGAATTCATGAGGTGCTCTTCTTATCACTGCAATGAACAACACAGAAATGGTAGGAATATTTACCAAGAAGGAAGAAAAAGAAGAGGAGTGAAGTAGGGAGGAATGATGTTGCATGAAAGGATGTAACTAGACAAATAAAGCCTAAAGACTGATAAAAATAAAAGGTCAAAACAACAAAGATTGCCACTTTTATCATTTATAGGTTCTGTGATGGGATGTAATCAGTATTTTTTTTTCCCCTCATATAGCTGAAGCCACAAAGTGTGGTGCAAACTTAAAACAACAAACTAGATTACTTCAATAAACAAACAACTAAAAAAAAATGTAAAACCTCACCTTCACGGTACAATGAGGGAAACAAACCATCAGGAGAAATAACGACAGGTCCATTAGGTAAAGCTTTTCCATCCTGTATAAACAAATCATTCGGTGAAAAACTGATTCCAAACTCATAATTTCAAAGTAAAACCATTTTAATAAGGAAGACAATTTCAAAATATTACTTTTGCTATTGCCTTTTGCCTCCACAAGGAAAATGTAAAAATTGTATTTGGATGCAAAAGCAAATAATATTTTTTAAAAGAAATAAAAATTAAATAAAATGTGTACCTTAGAATTTCCTAATATTGAAATAAGAAGTTAAGCACACCAAAACCTGTGCTATTTCACTACCTGTTTCAGGTTGAGTAAAAAACTTCTGGTTAGATATGCCTGACCAATTGCACGTGCACTGAGAAATAGCAGCTGATATCCATTCTCCTGTTGTGAACATACAATTCAGTATTTGACGTTAGATACCCAAGGAAATCATTTTTGCTAAAATGCATGTCAACATAGGTCAGTTAAAAGAATAAAGAAAGACCCACACTGGTGGCATAAAAAATAAATAAATAACCACACAGGCTGACAATTAATCATTTAAATCGAACTCTAAAGTGACTGGATAATTGAACCCAATGTTCCCTAGAAACAATATTGTGTTTGTGTATGCACAAACACGTTTGTCAGCAACGTGGGTGGACATAGATGCAACTTCTGAAAAGAATTTTATCACTACATGGTATCTAGAAGTACAAAAATAAATTTCATAAAAAAAAATTGTTAGGAAGCTTAATGTGATGGGATAATATTCACATCATCATGATACTAAGGTTGTCAAATGTTATTCCATGAACATGCATTCTAAAACCTGATGAATGAATATATAATCACTTACATCAGTGGTAATTATAAAGAATTAATTAAAGCAAAGCAAAAGAAAAACATAAGACAAATTTTATTTCAGCTATACTGGACTTAAAAAAGGGAAGTAGTAATACAGGCGTGATGGTATTACTAGATCTAGTTTTGCATGGCAGTCTAGAACAGAGTTGAGGCTCAATTAAGTCAAGATGAAAAAAATGAAACATATGAGAAAAGCATACCTTAATAGCAGAGAAAAGTTTAGCTACACCAGATTGTGTCCAATCCCTTCCAACTAAAGGCATAAACTGGCCTAAAACGTCAGACCTGAAAGAAACATTGTGAAGGTTATTGAAAGACACATCTTGTATTAAAACTATACAGATTGAAACATATTCAAGGAAAGATTTCACCACAAATTAATTAGGGTATGACAGCTTCTAGAAATGCTCATGGCTGCTTTAATACTAAAGACCATAATGGAAGATTTAATTTCAGCTTCAAATATAAGTATATGATTTATTTTTCTCCTCTTCTTTTATAGTCCAGCTTAATTTATAAGTCCCAATATCATACTCATGTCATAGTGATGTCTAGTAAGGAAATTATCTACCATTTCCGCATATCATAACGAGAATCACAGGTGAGTTTGGACAGGTCCATAAATGGGTGAAACAAGAACATTTTAAATAATGCAGAGAGATAAGATCAGGAGATAAAAATCCTTACTTGGTAATAGTTCCATCAACATCTGAGATTACAATCTTTGCGTTCCACTTCCACAAGTAGAGATGGGCATCAACCTGTTAAAGGCATTTTTGAGGCTAAAACTTGAGCACAACACAAACCTTGCAAACCTACAGGAAGAATTGAGTAGTAGAGAATTGAAACCTGCTGTTTTCCCAGAACCCTGGTGGAGAAACTGAAAGTAACCATATTTTGACCATCTTTCAGATTCAAGGAAGCTATCTGCTCATTTGTGGGAACATTTGTCCTAAAAAATTGCTTGTGAGGAGATTCAGTCCTTCCACTGAATGCTGGAGTTGAATCTGATCGTGAATTGTGTAGACCAGGTTCAGTATCAACAAATACCTCCTCACTAGATGAATTGCTGCTTTTGTGCTCAAGTGTTTTGACCCTTCTAAAGGGAATACGCCAGAGCCTCCACCTGCGGCCAGAGGATGTGGGAGTGACTATAGAATCATCATCCTTTGGGTTTGACGACTCATCTTGTTCAACAGGGATTATATCTTGGGGCTCAACAGCTAACTCTAAATCAAATGCAGCCATTCCAAGAACAATAGGAGCAGCTTTTTCCCATGGCAAGTACCTCTCTCCAAATCGGATGATTAGGTTTGCATTCTTAATAATTGACATTGCATTATTTTTATATTCCTCCTCTGATATGCGGTGTGCTTCAAATACTTCTGCTGCAGCATCTAATCTCATACCCGCATGAAGTTCATGTCCACAGAGTGAGATCTCAAATCCTGGAAATATAAGGTGAGCCAGAGAAACTAAATATCCATGAGAACCAAAGCAAGAATAATAAAGTAAAACAATTAAAGGAGGCAAAGGTCCTCAGTTCCTTACCCAGGGTAGAATGAGTTTCTATCTCTTTCCTAGAAGTTGTTTCAGTTTCCACAATCCCACTTTTGCTACTCTTATCCTCGGGTTCAGGACTTTGCTGCCTGCTATTTATCCCTTCAGTTGCTGCCGATGGACCAGACTGTTCATCTTTTGATTCGGGATCATTACCAGCAGAATCAACGGACACATTGTTAGAACCCATGTAATCCATATCTGACACTTTCTTTTCAACAGGTTCATCCTCAACTGGTAAATCAGGAGATCCATTATTGTAGGAAGAATTGGGACTATAATAGGAAGAAAACACATATTTATTTATGGGGTCACCAACAGCTCCGTATCCAGATTCATCAATGTCTGGAAGAATGCAATAAGGTTTATCTTGTGAAATCTGAGCTTCTGAGGGGCTATCTATTTCTTCAGAATCGTTGTTTTCACCATGTCTACCCAATTCAGATAGTTCAACGCAGCTCTTAAAAATATCCCCCTTCTTACTATGCACAGATATATCTTCATCATCGCTTTGTCTGTTAAATTCACTTTCATGGTTAGAAAGGTTTTGAGTTTCTTCAGTTTGACAGGCATGTTCCCCCCCTTCCTCACAGACTTCCAGATGGTGCCTTAAAGCAGTAGAATCACTGTTCAAGTGGCAAACATTATCAGAGAAATCGTTAGCTGCTGCTGTTGAATTGAGCTTACTAATATAGTCAGCAGCCCAAACATTGCCACCTGAACTAAATTCCTCATTATCCTCACAAAAGTCAGGTCCTTCACCTGGTCCTAGATGGAACTGAGGTGTGCCTAGTTGCACATTTTCAGTACTCTGTTCTGATGCTGAGACAGGGGCTGTAAGTATATGGCCATCCACACTGACCAGGACAACTTCTGAAACTAAATCTTGTACTTCACCAAAACCCTCATATCGGCCAGACCCAAATTCTGACAAATTAACTGATCCCTCTAGAGAGGACTGCTCATCTTGAAATTCATAGAACCTAGTATCAGATTCCGACCTTTCAAGCCGTTTTGGACTTGCAGCATCACATTTGTCGCTCAAGTGAGCCACCTCGGAATCTGAGACACTATGTTCAAGTCTACAAAATTCAGCAATATTTTTATTACTGTCATACTGCATCACTTCACCATCAGAATCTTTCAAATCTCCATTTGTCTCAATTCCTTTACCAGAATCAACCTCCCTTACAAAATATGCCTCCCCAGAGTTATCAAGATACATATGAAAATCCGCTTCAATGCCATTAACAGTTATGCGAACAACCTTCTCAGCCCCTTTTAAAACACCCTGAAACTTCCCAAACTGAACATGCCAAGGTGTGCTTCGAAAAGTCCCATCTTGTTGCTGAACAACAATCACATCAACAGCCCCACCAAAAGGATGGAAAGGTGTAGCAACAGAATATACACCTTGTGAAATTAAACTCCCAACTTTACCAACCACATTCATTTGTCAAAACTAAACCTTTTTATTTATTTATTTGAAAGAAAACTAAACCTTTTATTAGATTAACAGAATTCAATGGAAAAATAACAAAACCCCTTTTTCAGATTCTTTATTTTCTATCAAACAAGAATCCAACAAATGAATATAAATATCCAAAACTTTAGGTTCTTCTCAATGATATTGATTCTTTACCTTGAGGTATCTGCATTCAATTCAAAATTAAACCAAGAAAATATTAAACCCTAAAACTTTCCCTTTTGATCAGCAAATAAAATGGTGAAACAAAAAAAAAAGGAAAGCAAGCCTGGGAGTCTATCAGCTACCAATTTCATACCAAATCTTCAAATCCCAGTTTCACAAATATTATACGAACCCAATATAGAATGTTAAAACATATTCCTTATAAAAGAAGAGAAACTTAACCTTTAGAAACACCAAAAACTCGAACAGATTTTCCTCCAATTTTCTTGGCAACCAAACAGAAAATAAATGTTGGTTATACAGACAGAGAGACAGAGAGATAGCAATGCAATTAAATAATGAGAATTGCAAATAAAATAAAACAAACTTTAATCCAAAATTTTAACATAAAAGTCAAAAGTCATTAAACTTACAGAATAAGAAAATTGCGCAAAAAATTTTCCCGCGATGGACCAATCTCGAAGTTCGAAAGCAAGACAATTCTATTTATAGGATTGTCTCTCGAAAATTTTTCTTAAAAAACTTTCTTTTGAATTTTCAACAATGTTCTGTTTTTTTTTTTTTTTTCTACTACGATTGATGATGTATGATTGGACGTCGTTACTCAAAGCTTCGGACTTTGAATTTCTCTTTCTTTTTTTTTATTACCATTTGGGGGAAAATGGCAATTTTGAAACGAGTCAGAAATGGTAGCGGTGGCTAAGCAATAAATAGGCAATAATGGAACCAAAATATTTTCGATCCCCGAAACACCCTTCCATTGAATGGATTTAATGTAATTATAACAAGGACAAGGCCGGTATTTGAAGCAAGAGTAAGGGTATTTGTGGAACTAGGAGGCAGTAGCCACCTGGTTTCTTTTATTAAGTTGGCCAAAAAAAAAAGATATTTTTTCTTTTGTCTTTTTGTTGTATAAATATGGCAATGCAACGATATGAATAACGTGACGTGTTGTTTTGTGATCCCGTTAATGCTTCTGAAAGAAGAAACAAGTGACGTGTACGCATGTTCCAACATCCAACTGTGCTTTGAATGTTCTCGTCTAAATATATACGTTAAGTAATGAAAAGAAAATAATTAAGAGAAAAAATAAAACAAGAGTCCAGATTTTGCTGAACCTTTTACAGTTGGATCGGAGCTGTCCGAAGATGATGAAGATGATGATATAATAGATGTTTACATTCACATTCAGAAGTATTACTGTTTATAGACTTTATTGTGTCTGAAATAAGTGGCTGAGTGTGTCCAAAATGACAAATTTATGTTACGATGAAATATCGAACATTTTCTTTGGAGGAAAAATTTGATATTCTTCACAAAATAAAATCTGATGAAAGTGTGTCGTATAATTGCTGGCATAGCAAAACTATGGCGTGGCTTTTCAGGTACTTGAATGAATTAATACTAAGCTAGTTGTTCATGTTAGTCAAAAGGGATATATCTGGTTCTGAAGATTATTAAACTTGTGCTGGCTCGAACATGACTGCCTTTTCTTTGCTGGTAATTCCTCCGCTAGCTAGGTATTTCTCATCCTGGGTGTGTGTTGGTGATGAAGATGCTTCAACTGGAACTTGCTTGCAGGGTTGAGTGTGAAACCTGTTGTTGTTTTTCTGAGGCTGCAAGCGTGGGTTCTTTGATTGTTATCATTGTGGATGCGCATGGTGTGGTAGAACTGGAAGATTGATGTCAGTGTCGTCACAATAAAAATTTTGAAGAAAAAAAAAATTCGAAGATTTCGACTCCTGCCTCCATGGCCTTAGAAGTGAATCCAACTGTCGGTGTGCTTTGTGTGTGTGACTCCATTGCTTGGATGTGGAAATATCATTTTCAGGCCTGACAAATCTGTTATGGTTGCTATGATGAGTATTCAGCTTGCGCTCCAATTGTCATATCCTAAACTTACCAGGCGTCCTTTTTTCTTTGCAAGACCCAACCCATTTAATCAAATAGTAGAGTTTGTGTCCGTCCAAATGATAGACTAAAATGAATATGGGTTGGACCATTTAGGCCAACTCATAAATTTCTGAGCCCATTATATTCGACTGACCCAAACTCCACCGTTTCCATCAAATATTGAGGCCCGATTTTCGTTCCCAAGGGGCAAGAACCGACGTCGTGTTAAACAGCCCTGAAAATTTGAAATCCAACCAAGATCTGAATTTCGGACAAGACATCACAATTCACAAAAACAATCAGATCCGGAAAGCGGATTCCATTCTCCTTACAAACTCAACTACTTACTTCCATTTCCTGTCTAAACCGCCGTAACAGCCAAGCCAACCGTCCCAACCGGCGCAATAAATTCACAAAAATGACGAAAATACCCTTACTCCTACTCCTCCTCCTCCTCCTTTTCCTCTCCTTCCTCTCCTCCACCACCGCCGAGATCAAAACCTTAACCATCAAATCGGACTCCCGTCCCATGATCCTCTTCGAAAAATTCGGTTTCACCCACACTGGCCATGTCGAAATCTCCGTTTCCTCCGTCTCCGTCTCTTCCTCCCTCAACGCCCCAAACCCCGACGCTTCCCGCCTTGGCTTCTTCCTCTTATCTGAAGAATCTCTTCTCCAAGTCCTACTCGAGATCCAACAGAACCCTCACTTTTGCGTTCTCGATTCTCGCTACATCCAACACCTCTTCACTTTTAGCGACCTCTCACCACCTCCCCTCTCCCGTTTCAACCGCTCTTACCCCGTTTCTTCCCCCAATGAGTACTCTCTCTTTTTCTCCAATTGCGCTCCCGAAACGCGTGTTTCGATGAATGTCCGAACCGAAATCTACAACCTCGACCGCGACGGTTCTAAAGATTACCTCTCCGCCGGTCTAACCCAACTCCCTTCTCTTTACACCTTCTTCTCAATCCTCTACTTAGGCTTCTTGGGTTATTGGATCTACGTTTGTTATACAAACAAACGATCCGTACACGGGATCCATTTATTAATGGCCGGGTTGCTTTTGTTCAAAGCTGTGAATCTGATTTGCGCTGCCGAAGATAAGCATTTTGTTAAAGTTACCGGAACTCCTCATGGTTGGGATGTTTTGTTCTACATTTTCCAATTTATTCGTGTCGTTTTGTTATTTACTGTTATTGTTTTGATTGGCACCGGTTGGTCGTTTTTGAAACCCTTTTTACAAGAAAGGGAAAAGAAAGTTTTAATGATCGTGATTCCGCTTCAAGTTTTAGCAAATATTGCTTCGGTTGTGATCGGAGAAACTGGGCCATTCATCAAAGATTGGGTGACATGGAATCAGGTGTTTTTGCTGGTTGATATTATCTGCTGTTGCGCGATTATTTTCCCAATTGTTTGGTCGATTCGTTCATTGAGAGAAACATCGAAAACTGATGGGAAAGCGGCGAGGAATTTGGCCAAGTTGACTCTGTTTAGGCAGTTTTATATTGTGGTGATCGGATATTTGTATTTTACAAGAATTGTTGTGTTTGCTTTGAGGACGATCGCAGCTTATAAGTATCAATGGGTCAGCAATGCAGTTGAGGAGACCGCGAGTTTGGCGTTTTATTTGGTGATCTTTTATATGTTTAGGCCAGTGGAGAAAAATGAGTACTTTATTCTTGATGAGGAAGATGAAGAGGCTGCTGAACTTGCTCTTAGAGATGAAGAATTCGAGCTTTGAGAATATGGGGGCAGTTGAAATTACTTTTGATGCAAATTGGGATTAGTTTGCAGGTTTCTTTTAGTGAATTTTTCAGATACAAATTGCTGCATCTGGTCTGCAACTGTTGCTGCTTTTCTCTTTACTGTTTTTCATTTTGTTTAACTTGTTACAAGAACTTTAATATGTTTCCATTTAGTTACTGTATTTCTGCTTGATGAAATTCTCACATTATGAATCTCATAATGAATTTTGCGCTATATTCAATTTAATCTTTCCCAATGATTCATTATTAGGCTGCGGATTTGAGATGAATGACCTTTGAGTCTCTTCTGGTAAACCATATGAAACTTTTCTATAAGAAAATCGTATGCAACTTTTTTGAAATCTTATCTAGCTTTATTCAATTATGTAAAATGGACAGTGAATAGAGAGCGAGAGAATTTATGTGGGATTGACTGCTTCCTCGGAGTCACCTAATGTGATTAGTGGTTACAATGATTTATTGGTAATTTGCTTTTTCGATTAACTGCTTTCCATTTGGCTTCCATCATTCAAATTGGACTCAATTCCATTCTGTTCAAATTGGTCTTTCTGATCATATTCTTTCTAATCATAATAATGTTGTTTTCCTTTACGATGGTTGTGCTTTTTGGCTATGTTCTTCTGGGTTGGCTGCCAGAAACTTTAATGATAGATAGTCCTTCCTCTATTTTTAGACTCTCTCAAATCCTTTTGGATACTGATGCAAATAAATAAAAAAATAAAAAAAAATAAGTGGAATATGCAAAAGACCCGTATTAGTTATCGCCTCTTCACTACTCTTGTAAGATGGCAATGAGAAATGTGCATTAACTTTTCTTAGCAGATTGAACTTTTTTCTTTTCTTTTATGAATTATGTCGAGCTGTTGGCTGGTAGCAAACTGTATTTTTCTGCATTAAATGAACCTGAATTCATGCTGACTGATTATTGCTGGAGGTGTTTTCACTACGCAAATAATGCAAATTAGTGAAGTTGATTAGTCTTTGATTGTTGATAGTCAATCTTTGGAGACATTTAGGGGGATAGCTGCAAGTCACTTGACCTGGCATTTTTTTATTTTTTAAGTTGTGTCTTTTTCCTTTACATTTTTTCCAATTGGACTGTCCCGCATTTTGAATTGATCAATGCCTTGTATTTGTTCTTTCTTATTGGCAGATATAGGCTTATTAGTGGTTAGTTTGGAAATTTATGTCCATTTTTGGTCAAACTTGAACCTTATGCCATAAAAAAAAAAAAGAAAATTAATCCTGTAAATATATATCCCTGTTAATTACCCAAACGCGTTTAATCAATCGTGTGCCTAAAATTAGTACTAGATGCTAGGGTATTGAGTTCCCGGCTACGCTTTTAAATTTTCTTAAACCTATAATTTATTAGAAGCTGATCAATATGTATGCCATCTGCGTTAGTACTCTGGCGTCAATCAAACTCCTAGTTTTAAGTTGAAAGAAAGGTGAAAATGGAAATCTGAGATTATATCAATTTTGCCCTTCATGGTTGTCGCTGCCGTAATCTTGATGCTCCATTGAAAATCACGGTAAGTCTGAGAAAGTTAGGCTCAGCCAAGCCCTCGTTTGGATGAGCGATTAGCGCCGTTGAGACGCGATTATCTTTCTTTTTTTGGTCCAAATCAAATGGTGATGATGTTTGGATACCTGAGGCACGTTAACCAGTGACTAACTGGTGATGAAAGGTCCAGTCAAGAAAATTTCTTTTTCATCGCATCCCACAATTTCATTTTGCCTATGTTTTTTTATTTTTATTCTTTTTTTATCATTAAAGTTATAATTCGTTTTTTTTTTTTTGTTTACCACTTTAATTTTTTATTTAAAAATTTTAAAATAACAACTTCATTGATTTAATATAATAATTAATTTAATTATATAATAAATAAATTTTATGTATTAATATTTTTATTGAATTAAATTTTCAAGATTTTAAATATTATAAATAATATTAAAATATATAAAAAATAAATTATCGATACATTTTTAAAGTAAAGTTTTGAACAATCATCTTTTATTTTTATCTTACCGTTACTATTATTTTTACATTTAAACATATATTTCATAATTGATTTTAATTTTATAATTAATTTTATTATTATAATAATTAATTTTATTTTTATCATTATTTTTAATCTCATTAAAATCAATTTTACTGCACATCCACCTATGAAGGCAATGTCACTTGCATATACTCTGACATATGTTTACACTCCCATATCTTGCAAACTAAAGAGAACTTAAACAGGACACAGAAATTGGCAGAAGATTCGTGTTGACGTGAATTCGGAAAACTGTAAGATTTGGGATCGGGTTTCAATTTTATAAAATATAGTGTCCAAGCACAGCCAAAGCAAAAGCCCAAAGATTCAAGGCCTGAATTCATGTTCAAAACAAATTCCACTTGTAAATGTGTTTAGCAGTGGTTCAACTCCGTCGTTGTGTAGGACTCAAGCTCGAGCCTCGCTACAGCTGAGGTCCAGACGCCAAAGCCAGGACCGATTGTCGCCCAACATAGTAATCGTATGTAGATGAGCTCCACTGGAAGCAAGATGGAGTATCAGTCATTAGAATTTGCAGCAAAGAGTGCAAGTATGAGGGAAGTTTGGTGACTACTATGATTGTCCAGAGCTAGTCCAACCTTGTCACCCATGCTCTTTCCCAGGTCACTGCAGCCATTGTTAAGCCACGAAACTCCTTTTCCAATGAAACATTCTTCACACTAAGTGCTATCAATAAAGAGAGAGGTTCATAATTTACTGCAAGTAGTGCCCACCAAGCTCCTTTTCCATCAAAACTCATTATAAATTGAAAACATTTGTAGACAACTAATAAATTAAAGTGAAAGGAATAATGATCAATAATAAATCAAGTATGTAATATCCCAACCCAAATAATAATAGGGATAGACTATTATCAAAATTCATTAATTTAATTAAGAGATTAATTATAGAAAAAGGGACTAAGGTATTTTATTAGAGAAAATCTAACCTTTTTTGTTTAATATGAAATAGAAGAAAAAAATAAAAACTCCTCTTTCTCTTCTTTTTCAGGGTTAGGGAGCTTAAAAATTAAGTTGGGATTCGAAATCAAAAGTTACAATTAGATTAATCTCCTAAAAAAGAGTATATGCCCTCTTTTTATTTTAAAAAAATATCATATTAGATTGCTATTATTTGAAGTAAAGTTTATGAGAGAAAAACATAGAAAATTTATGAAATCTCTCGTTAATCTTTATGATCTATGTGAGTAAATTAAAGAGAATGAATTGATCAATGAAGATCTTATGGATTTGAGAAAAGATTGATTTTCAATTTAACGAGGTTTTGAAGTTATTCAATGAGAGTTAAATGAATTTTTAATCATGACTAAGTTAAGAATAAAAGAATACATTGTTGAAATTAAAAGTATGAAATATTGCAATTGGAATGAAATGATATTTTAAAATTTTGAAGTAATTATTTATGGGTTATAATGTTTGAGAATTTGTCTTGATGGATTTAGTCCGAAATTTTGTAATTGTGATAAATAGTTTTATATACATAAAGGTGGATATTCATTTGATTTAGTTCTACATTTTATTGAAAAAATATTTAAGATTTGATATATACTAGTTGAAAGTTTGTATAATTAATTTAAAGTTTGATCATTATATTTCTATTTGAAATGTGAAGAATTTTCTCAGTAGTCAAAGTAATTATTTGCGGTTATAGTTTGTAGCACAATATCGGATTCCTTGAAATTATATACTTGTGGAGAATATTGCCTATTATGGTACAAGGTGTGTATACTTAACAAGAAATTAAATTTGTGAATAAAAATTAAAGTTGTGGTTAAAATGAATTATTAAGAAAGTTGATTTTAAAGGAGTAATGGACTTAATAAAAATTATATACATTTCAATTAAGAAGGATTTTTTTTGTTAAATCTTACAAGTGCAAAAGATTGTTCATATTATGATTAGGTCATAATAGCTAACCATGATTTTGTGTAGTTGGTGATATTGAATAGGGATTCAATTTTTTAGAAAACTTATGAAATAATGTGATGCATTTGACTATTGTTCCTAACTATATTTTTTGCATGAATTCAAGTATTTGGAGTTCTTATTATTTAAATTTTATAAGAGAATTTTGCTTTTGGGTTGTGATGCATAGATTTTGACTTTGACTTGGAAATAATAGCGATATATTTGGTAAAAAAAATTTTGAGACATTATGATATTAGTGAGGATTATAAAGAATCAGTTGTTATATGATAATTGGTTTATTAAATTAGAAAGAAAAATATTCAAAATTGGAGACAACTTGGATAACCATCAGATTTATGTTTGAATTTACATAATGTGAATTTATGATATGATCTATTACATTGATTTCATATATATTTTAATGGTTAACTGTTAGAAAATCTCATATTGTCAAAGAAAAAAAAAAGGAAAATTAAAGTAGTATGTAGTATCTTTTTTGGTGACTAAAAGATTTGATGATATTGTTATTCAACTTTAAGATTATTATGGTTATGAATATCTAGTGTGAAGCAAATTATATGAAATTTTATGGACATATGTTTGTCTTGTTATAAAACAATGTTATAAAAGTTGATTTCTTATTTTAGATTTTTATTAAAAGGAAATATTAGATTGTGTAATAGAAGCTTGATTTGATTTAAGTTATAAATTCTTGGGTATTATTAGTGAATAAAGTGATGAATCTTTAACAAATAAAGACTTTACGTATGAATATTTTGTGTTCCTTCTAGTTTTGGAGACTTTATCATTGATAAACATTCTTTTAAGCAGTGTTTATATCATGATTTGAAAAGAAACTCTTTTTTTTTTTTAATTTATAACAATGGCTATAAGACAAACATTCAATAACTTATTTTGAGGTTTTATATTAAAATACATCTAAGTCTCAAACTTACTAGGATAAAAACTTTTATTTCTTGAAATTTATAGAACAAATTATTGATAAATTTTAGTTCATTAAAAATGGTTTAAAGTAAGCAAAAGAATTATGTCAGAATTTGGATGTAAGATTTGTAGTTTCAAGTGAGTAACCATTTATACTTAAATATGTCATTATTAAAAGTGTTACGAGGATTATGAAGTAAAGAATGTTAAGTCTACATTATGTAAGGACATTTGAAGATTTTGATCAAAGTGAAAAAATTTCAATATAAAAAACCTTACCACCTTAGCTAATTTTTTTTACACAATATGTTATATATCTATGTTACGAGATTATA